TTCCCATTTGATTTTTCCATTTGGTTTTCCCATTTGGTTTTCCCATTTGGTTTTCCCATTTGCTTTTCCCTTTTGGTTTTCCCATTTGGTTTTCCCATTTGACTTTCCCATTTGGTTTTCCCATTTGGTTTTCCCATTTGGTTTACCATATGCTCTTCCCATTTGTTTTTCCATTTTGCTTTTCCCATTTGCTTTTCCCATGTGGTTTTCCCATTTGGTTTTCCCATTTGCTTTTCCCATTTGGTTTTCTCATTTGGTTTTCCCATTTGGTTATCCCATTTGGTTTTCCCACTTGATTTTCCCATATGGCTTTCCCATTTGGTTTTCCCATTTGGTTTTCCCATGTGGTTTTCCGATTTGGTTTTCCCATTTGCTTTTTCCATTTGCTTTTCCCATTTGGTTTTCCAATTTGGTTTTCCCATTTGGTTTTCCCATTTGGTTTTCTCATTTGGTTTTCCCATTTGGTTTTCCCATTTGGTTTTCCCATTTGGTTTTCCCATATGGCTTTCCCATTTGGTTTTCCCATTTGGTTTTCCCATTTGCTTTTCCCATTTGGTTTTCCCATTTGGTTTCCCATTTGCTTTTCCAATATTTGGTTTTCCCATTTGGTTTTCCATTTGGTTTTCCCATTTGGTGTTCCCATTTGCTTTTCCCAGTTGCTTTTCCCATATGTGGTTTTCCCATTTGGTTTTCCAATTTGGTTTTCCCATTTGGTTTTCCCATTTGATTTTCCCATTTGGTTTTCCCATTTGCTTTTCCCATTTGGTTTTCCCATTTGGTTTTCCCGTTTACTTTTCCCATTTGCTTTTCCCATTTGGTTTTCCCATTTGGTTTTCCCATTTGGTTTTCCCATTTGGTTTCGCATTTGCTTTTCCAATATTTGGTTTTCCCATATGGTTTTCCCATTTGCTTTTCCCATTTGGTGTTCCCATTTGGTTTTCCCATTTGGTTTTCCCATTTGGTTTTCCCATTTGCTTTTCCCATTTGCATTTCCCAATTGCTGTTCTTGCTTTTCCCATTTGGTTTTCCATTTGGCTTTCCCATTTGCTTTTCCCATTTGGCTTTCCCATTTGGTTTTCCCATTTGGTTTTCCCATTTGGTTTTCCCGTTTGGTTTTCCCATTTTGTTTCCCATTTGGTTTCCCTTTTGGTTTTCCCATCTGGTTTTCCCATTTGGTTTTCCCATTTGGTTTTCCAATTTGCTTTTCCCAGTTGCTTTTCCCATTTGCTTTTCCCATGTGGTGTTCCCATATTTGGGTTTCCCATTTGCATTTCCCTGTTCCTTTTCCCATTTGGTTTGCCCATTTGGTTTTCCCATTTGGTTTTCTCATTTGATTTTCCAATTTGGTTTTCCCATCTGGTTTTCCCATTTGATTTTCCCATTTGGTTTTCCCATTTGGTTTTCCCATTTGGTTTTCCCATTTGCTTTTCCCATTTTTCCCAGTTGGTTTGCCCATTTCCTTTTCCCATTTGTTTTTCCCATTTGCTTTTCCCATTTGCTTTTCCCATTTGGATTTCCTATTTGGTTTTCCCATTTAGTTTTCCCTTTTGCTTTTCTCATTCGGTTTTCCCATTTGGTTTTCCCATTTGGTTTTCCCATTTGCCTTTCCCATTTGCTTTTCGCATTTGCTTTTCCCATTCCGTTTTCCCATTTGGTTTTCCCATTTGGTTTTTCCATTTGCTTCTTCCATCTGCTTTTCCCATTTGGCTTTTCCATTTGGTTTTCCCATTTGGTTTTCCCATTTGGTTTTCCCAGTTTTCCATTTGATTTTCCCAGTGTTCCCAATTGTTTTTCCCATTTGGTTTTTCAATTTGCTTTTCCCATTTGGTTTTCCCATTTGGTTTTCCCATTTGGTTCTCTCATTTGATTTTTCCCTTTGGTTTTCTCATTTGGTTTTCCCATTTGGTGTTCCCATTTGGTTTTCCCATTTGGTTTTCCCATTTGGTTTTCTCATTTGGTGTTCCCATTTGGTTTTCCCATTTGGTTTTCCCATTTGGTTTTCCCATTTGTTTTTCCCATTTGGTTTTCCCATTTGCTTTTCCCATTTGGTTTTCCCATTTGGTTTTCCCATTTGCTGTTCTCATTTGGTTTTCCCATTTGGTTTTCCCATTTGCTTTTCCCATTTGCTTTTCCCATTTGCTTTTCCCATACTTGGTTTTCCCATTTGGTTTTCCCATTTGGTTTTCCCATTTGGTTTTCCCATTTGGTTTTCCCATTTGGTTTTCCCATTTGGTTTTCCCATTTGGTTTTCCCATTTGGTTTTTCCATATGGTTTTCCCATTTGCTTTTCCCATGTGGTTTTCCCATGTGGTTTTCCCATTTGGTTTTCCCATATGGCTTTCCCATTTGGTTTTCCCATTTGGTTTTCCCATTGGTTTTCCCATTTGGTGTTCCTTTTTGGTTTTCCCATTTGGTTTTCCCATTTGGTGTTCCCATTTGCTTTTCCCATTTGTTTTTCCATTTTGCTTTTCCCATTTGGTTTTTCCATTTGGTTTTCCCATTTGGTTTTCCCATTTGGTTTTCCCATTTGGTTTCCCATTTGGTTTTTCCATTTGGTTTTCCAATTGGGTTTTCCCATGTGGTGTTCCCATTTCATTTTCCCATTTGGCTTTCCCATTTGCATTTCCCAATTGCTTTTCTTGCTTTTCCCATTCGGTTTTCCCATTTGGTTTTCCCATTTGCTTTTCCCATTTGGTTTTCCCATTTGCTTTTCCCATTTGGTTTTCCCATTTGGTTTTCCCATTTGGTTTTCCCATTTGGTTTTCCCATTTGGTTTTCCCAGTTTTCCATTTGGTTTTCCCAGTGTTCCCAATTGTTTTTCCCATTTGGTTTTCCCATTTGCTTTTCCCATTTGGTTTTCCCATTTGGTTTTCCCTTTTGGTTTTCCCATGTGGTTTTCCCATTTGGTTTTCCCATCTGGTTTTCTCATTTGGTTTTCCCATTTGCTTTTCCCATTTGCTTTTCCCATTTGCTTTTCCCATATTTGGTTTTCCCATTTGGTTTTCCCATTTGGTTTTCCCATTTGGTTTTCCCATTTGGTTTTCCCATTTGGTTTTCCCATTTGGTTTTTCCATATGGTTTTCCCATTTGCTTTTCCCATGTGGTTTTCCCATTTGGTTTTCCCATTTGGTTTTCCCATTTGGTTTTCCCATTTGGTTGTCCCATTTGGTTTTCCCATTTGGTTTTCCCATTTGGTTTTCCCATTTGGTTTTCCCATTTGGTTTTCCCATTTGGTTTTCCCATTTGGTTTTCCCATTTGCTTTTCCCATTTGCTTTTCCCATTTGGTTTTCCCATTTGGTTTTCCCATTTGGTTTTCCCATTTGGTGTTCCTTTTTGTTTTTCCCATTTGGTTTTCCCATTTGGTTTTTCCATTTGCTTTTCCCATTTGGTTTTCCCATTTGGTTTTCCCATTTGGTTTGTTTTCCCATTTGGTTTTCCCATTTGGTTTTCCCATTTGGTTTTCCCACTTGCTTTTCCCAATTGCTTTTCCCATTTGGTTTTCCCATTTGCTTTTCCCATTTGGTTTTCCCATTTGGTTTTCCCATTTGCTGTTCTCATTTGGTTTTCCCATTTGATTTTCCCATTTTTTCCCATTTGCTTTTCCCATTTGTTTTTCCCATTTGGTTTTCCCATTTCATTTGGTTCGCCCGTTTGGTTTTCCCATTTGCCTTTGCCAGTTGGTTTTCCCATTTGGTTTTCCCATTTGGTTTTCCCATTTGGTGTTCCCATTTGGTTTTCCCATGTGGTTTCCCATTTGGTTTTCCCATTTGCCTTTCCCATTTGTTTTTCCCATTTGGTTTTCCCATTTGGTTTTCCCATTTGCTTTTCCCATTTGCTTTTCCCATTTGGTTTTCCCATTTGGTTTTCCCATTTGGTTTTCCCATTTGCTTTTCCCATTTGCTTTTCCCATGTGGTTTTCCCATTTGGTTTTCCCATTTGGTTTTCCCATTTGGTTTTCCCATTTGGTTTTCCCATTTGCTTTTCCCATTTGGTTTTCCCATTTGGTTTTCCCATGTGGTTTTCCCATCTGGTTTTCCCATTTGCTTTTCCCAATTGGTTTTCCCATTTCATTTTCCCATTTGCTTTTCCCAATTGGTTTTCCCATTTCATTTTCCCATTTGGTTTTCCCATTTGGTTTTCCCATTTGGTTTTCCCATGTGGTTTTCCCATTTGGTGTTCCCATTTGGTTTTCCCATTTGGTTTTCCCATTTGCTTTTTCCATGTGCTTTTCCCATTTGTTTTTCCCATTTGCTTTTCCCATTTGCTTTTCCCATTTGCTTTTCACATATTTGGTTTTCCCATTTGGTTTTCCCATTTGGTTTTCCCATTTGGTTTTCCCATTTGGTTTTCCCATTTGGTTTTCCCATATGGTTTTCCCATTTGCTTTTCCCATTTGGTGTTCCCATTTCATTTTCCCATTTGGTTTTCCCATTTGGTTTTCCCATTTGGTTTTCCCATATGGTTCTCCCATTTGGTTTTCCCATATGGTTTTCCCATTTGGTTTTCCCATTTGGTTTTCCCATTTGGTTTTCCCATTTGGTTTTCCCATTTGGTTTTCCCATTTGGTTTTCCCATTTGCTTTTCCCATTTGGTTTTCCCATTTGGTTTTCCCAATTGCTTTTTCCATTTGCTTTTCCCATTTGGTTTGCCCTTTGCAAAAGAAGAGACAAACTCAGGCGGCGAACCAGCCGGCTAGCCTTGGAGCGTGAGCGAGGCATGAACCGGAAGCGAAGTGTCCTGTTCTTGTGTAGTATCGGCACTATTGCATTTCTTGCAATAAGATTAGATCGCTTATTGCACTTCTTTACCTGTCCCCTGTTTCCGGTCACGAAGAACATTGTGCAGGGATTCGCGATCAGGCAACATTCATACGCGGCAGTTCCCTGAACCAAAATGTGGGGCCATTGGGGTGATTCCATTCATCCCGTAGAGTTTACCACGTTCAAATCATTGCGTTGCCAGTCCCCGTATGTCAACACGCTAAATCCGAGTTCCCCAGGAGCACGGCTGGCGGAAGTTGGACGACGCGTCCGCCTGGCAGCACTTCGCTTTCGCCAGCCTCGGCCCCGAGGGGCGGCGGGTGCTGCTCCTGGCCGCCGCGGCGGCGGAGGTGTGGTGCGCGGTGGACTGGACCGGGGCGCAGGCGCTGCGCACGCTGCCGCTGCAGAGGCGGGTGACGGGGGGCCGGGGGCTGACGAAGGCACGAAGAAAATCGCACGGGTGGTGCGCGGGGTGGATCCGCCTTTGAATCGTGATCGCAGTTGGATTGGCTCAAGCCTCCTAATTTACGCTGAGGACGTCGAGGAAGTGCTGGGGACGATGAGGTGTGCATTTCTGGTTGGCCTACTTTTGTTGAGGAGCACCACTTGCACAGTGGAGGACTCTTGTGAGACTGCGGAGACATCGCTTTTGCAATCTCACGGGGGGGGCCAGATTGCCATGAATGGTGCCGTCAAGGTTGCCAAAGAGTTGCCTTTGCTGGACATCCAAATTCATAAATCGACCCAGTGCCTTGTCTCGAATTTTATGCGGACCTTCTTCAAAGCATGTGAGGTCATGGAGCTGTACGGCTCAACATCGGCCACGTTCCCATTATCATTGGTGGCGGAGAACAACTTCAGTGTCTTCGGCCTTGGCGTTACTAGCTATTTCCCCATCTTGACGGCCGACTTCTTCAATGCCACAACCTATCTACCGTATACCAGTGATGAGTATACTTTTTTGATTAAGTGGCAAGCAGAGCTTGACGTGCGTGTCGCAGAGTTTGCCGTGGCAGCGACCGTCTTATCACCCATCACACCCATGGCCATAGCACATCAGTCCTATACAAAGATCGCTGAGACGGTCAACGGTGACAAGAGCTTCCCCCAGTTTGTGCAAGGATACGGAGACCATTGGAACAATGACACATATGCAGGGCAGCTGGTGGGACATACCTTCATTGCTTGCATGTTGGAAGCCACGTCCCATGGCTTTCTTCTGGACTTAAGTGAATCAGGAACCTCCAAGGCGCCTGTGCAACTGATGAAGCGCGCAGCTGTTGCAACTGCACCAAGCAGCTTGCTCAGGACACGTGGCCACTTTACGAGCGGGTCGCAGCTTATCTCCATTGAGATTCAAGATCCGTCTGGCCCGTGGATGCAATTTGCGCCCAGTGATGGGGTGAAGTGGACTATGGCCAAGGTTTCCCTTTTTGCTTTGGCCTTTTTCGTCGTAGAGTGCTATCACACAGGCATCCACCTTTTTGCTGGCAGTGTCACATCGGCAATCAAAAAGGCAGTGCCTGCAGGAACGTCTTTGGGTCAGGCAGTGAGTCCAAACACACTCCAGACCATTTTTGCACTCTTTGAGCAGGCCTCTATTTTGCACTCCTCGCACGGTTCTGCTTTTTCAGGAACCACATGGTCGTGCAACATAACGGAGGTTTGGGCAACCACTCGTCAGATTGCCAGATACTATCTCAACACTGCGCCGAAGGATATTCTGGGCATGAATGAGTCGAGCCCAGACTGGTGGGCTGGAGGCTCTGCATCTTTCATAGAGCCCATTGAGAGTTTCGCAGATTTCGCGGCTCAGCAAGCCTCGGCGCCCTCAGACATGTCAGTGTTGGCAAACTTGCAGCTGGAGCTTCAGAATATTGGATTGTGGACAGAAGGTAGCACGCAGGTAACCACACCGAGTGGTCTCAGCAAGTTCATCCGCAACTTCCTTTTTGTGGCTGGCATTTGCCACTCGCACATGTACTTGACCCGCGAATTCTTCACTCCATTGGCTGGCTTCACCACGACAGAGCCGTTCTTACCCTATCTGCAAAGCCCTGTATCGCTGCTGGGGTTTGAGGTTATAGTGGAGCTTCTCTTCCCAACGGTCCCAGCCACTGTCAACTCTCTCTTGATCCTTGTTTACGGAACTGCATCCGGCTTTGGATCGGGCGTTCCTCAGCTGGGAGACGGTCCGTACCCGGAAGGAGACGATGGCCTCAATGGCGCCGTTGAAGCATTTCAGCAAGGTCTAAACGCTTCACGGCAGCTGGTGTATGGCATGTTTGGCAACTTCACAGGTGGGAGCTTCGTCCCAGGCTATTTGTACCCGGTTGACGTGCCCAAGCCATTTGGATACGCCATCACGCAGACAGCCTACATCTAGAAATAATGTACAGTAATTTGATGTGATCCATGAAGCTTCATGCTGGAAAAACCCATTACCTGGGTGCTTGGGGTTTGCTAGAATCCTTCATGAAGGAGAAGGGAACGGCCATCATCAATGCTTGGTTCGGAGATGCAACAACAGTTGTGCCTGCTAAGTGAAAGCAATTAGCACACAAGTTGAGCATCAAAACTTCGGCCTGAAAGAAATGCATGAGGAGCGCCGTCAGGTGAATTCCCTTTTCTTTGCCCTTTAAAACAGCAGAAAGGATGTCAGGCCTCCGAAAGACGCACAAACAAGATGCATAGATCTGGTCACCGTGTGCGTAGGCCTCTGGTGTACATGAACTTCCGTGTCTACAGCTCGGGGGTCTCTGCGACCAAGCGGCCCTGGTTCGACCAAATGGAGCGGGACGCACTGGCGAACGCCCAGGCGGGGGTTGGGCAGTGGTCACAAGGGTCTTTTTGTTTTAGTTGGCCATGTTGTACCAGGTGCGACGCCAGAAGGGCGCAGAAGGATCTTGAAGGAGCGGTTCTGGTGTTTGATTCTATCTGCACGTGCTATCATATTCTGTACAAAAGGAAACAGCAACAACTATGAAAGGTTGCCACGGTGTCTTGAAGGCTGCAGAGCTTCTTAAAATGGACAAGTGGTCAAGACAAAAAAGGGCATTGGATTTGAACCACATCCTCAGAGAAGCAGATCGTGTTCGGCTTTGTTTCTGTTGGCATTTTGAGTTAGTTGCTGAAGACTTGTATTGCTGCAAAAACATGTGGCCTTCCACGTGTGTTTGGTCCCGCATGTAGATGCAAACTGCTTCGAACCCCGCTTGAATACGCATCAACAGCAGTATGACACCAAGACAGACATACAAGACAACACAACACAGCACAGCGCACGCAACACAACACAACACATCACAACACCACACAACGCATTACAGCACAGCAGATTGCACCGCACCCCGCCGCAATGCTTATCAATCAATCCAAGCAAGCAAGCAAGCAAGCAAGCAAGCAAGCAAGCAAGCAAGCAAGCAAGCAAGCAAGCAAGCAAGCAAGCAAGCAAGCAAGCAAGCAAGCCAGCAAGCCAGCAAGCCAGCCAGCCAGCCAGCCAGCCAGCAAGCCAGCAAGCCAGCAAGCCAGCAAGCCAGCAAGCCAGCAAGCCAGCAAGCCAGCAAGCCAGCAAGCCAGCAAGCCAGCAAGCCAGCGCAAGCATGCAAGTGCGCAAGCAGCACGCACGCAAGCGAGCAAGCAAGCGAGCGAGCAAGCCAGCAAGCCAGCAAGCCAGCAAGCAACCAACCAAACACGAACAGAAACAAACACAGGAACCCCAGCAAGTCCGAAAGACAAGTTTAACAAGCACGTTTGATAAAAGTGCTGTCTTTACGGGGAGCCCTAGCATGAGTAAACGAAGGGTGTCTTTTCACGCTGTTTTCACGGGGTTTTCACGGTCTTTCACGGGTTGCTCACGCACTTTTCACGGTGTTGAAAGTTAGCCTGTTGACAAAGTGCAGGTTAAACGGGCACTTTGCGAAAGTGCCGGTTAAACGAGCACCTGGAAGCGTTGGGAACAGTCAAGCAAAAACAAAAGTATCCAAACAAGCACGCAAAGAAAAGAACGAACAACCACATAACAATCCAACAACAAGACGACAAAGCCGCCAAGCCAAAGCACCACAGCCACTTCGAAGCAGCAAACCCCGTTTCACGCCCGAGGCCGTGGTGGCGCTTTCCGAGCCAGACCGAATGAGCCTTACGGAGTTGGGTGCCCCGCAGGCGCGAGTTCGAGTGGTTGGTGGACTCAGTTTTCCCTGAGAGACCTGTGAGGAAACGGCGTTTTCCTTTCTTCTCAATTTACCCTAAGTTTGGAATGTTATATGTTTGGAGGCTCATTGAGGCTTAATTCGTATGGGTGTGGTACTGCGGAATTCTGGCATTGGCGAGTGAATCATGTTCCGCTTGAACTCGCGGTCCCAAACCGTGACACGCAGCAACGGGCCGTCAAGCTATATATGGTACCATAGATTGGTCGCATCTGCCTGCGGCATTCAACCACAGAAGGAAAGGATCGGAAGCCAAGCACCCAAGCTGCAAGTGACTTGTAGGTAGCAGTGCTGCTGCCCCCGCTGCGGGGGGACGTGCGAGCGCTGGCGGCCGGGGCGGCGGCGCCTGACTTGCCCCCCCAGGTCCAGGCAGCTGCACAGACCGCGCAGAGGCGGGCAATGTGAAGGTCCTGCCCCAGAGGCTTCCCGTAGTTGCAGCAAGGGAATAGGAAGTTGCCCAAATGAGCCACTTGCTCAAAACCCTTTGGTAGATGAAGGTTCAGGGTCAATCCGGACCATAAATTGCTGCGGATATCCGCCTTCTTGATTCTTGAAGCATGGTTCTGGGTCGACCATTTTAGTACCGGGTTTTGATTATGACTCAGATGGTTCCAGGATCCTGCCCAGCGGCAATCTGTGTCTTCCTTGGTTCACATTTTAAGATGGCAACAGGGATGTACCTTTAATTCTCCCGGTTGCTTAGGGTTTGGGGTCTGCCTTTTTCTCAACCCGTTGATCAAGAGCACCACCAGCAACCGCCACGTCAGTCTCGGCCTCCAGGCGGAGATTTCTGGTGAGCTGCGTGGTGCGGCTCTCCAAGGAGGGGGAGCGCCAGCCAACATCCCATCACAGCTCGAAAGGAATCCCAGAGAGGAAGGAGCTTAGCAAGCTAAGACCGGAAAAAGACACAGCTGTACCCGAAGAACTGCTGATACTGCTCTTTAGGGTTTAGGGTTGGCTGCATCGAGAGCACGGTGGTACAACTTTAGCAAAGAGTGATCCAGCACTTTTGGCTGTCCTGCGCAGCAAGGCGTGTCAGCAGCAATACCAAGAAGGCACCATGACAACAGCAATACCAAGATGGGTGTCTTTTCTTAGGGGACGCCAAAATTAGTTTCAAAACCACAAACAAGGGGTACTAACTCCAAGAAAGACAGCCCCAGATGGTGACAGAGTATCAAAGCAACTCTCAGGCGCCTCTGTGGCCACTCGCCAAGGACTCGACGCGTAAAAACGGGGTACCCCGATCGGATCGGCGGATTTCCTTTTCATCTCCCTTCGACACGATTCAAACCTGGGGGGACCTTATCTTTGTGCACGCAAACCTCAGCATGCTGAGTTTTATGGGACTTTCTCCAGTCCTGTTTTTTGGCCTTTTCGCTTTTTTTGGGTCAAACATATACAGTTCTGACTTCAGGAGAAGCAGGCGCTCCGCTTCGCCCGCTTCATCGCCCAGTGCAGCGGTGTGCTGCGGTCGCTGGGGCTGGTTCCGCTGCTGGCAGGTGCAGCCGCGGACGGCTATGCAGAAGAGGCCAGTGGGGGGATGGGGCAGGAAGCTTGTGTTTGTTTGGTGTGTTGGGTGCGGTTTGCGCGTTGCTTGTCCTTTTCTGGTTGTCATTTTTGCAAACCTATCAGAGTTTACCCGCGTAACTGCAGGCTTGCCGTTTGCACGCTGACGCGCCTACATTTGAATACAGATGCTGTTCAGAACACAGAGTGCTGGATCCTTTCTCATCTGTGAGGGTCAATTCCAAAGAAGCTCACCAGACCTGCCCCCCGCCCCCCCATTTTTTGATGGTCCCTTCCCCCCCCCCCCGTCCCCTCGTTTCTTTTTAGCACCCCGGCTTCGGTCCGCAGCACGCCTCCCCGCGCTTCGGCCGAGGTGAAGACGGCGCTGCGCCTCGCGGCGCCGGAGGCGGTGGTGCTGGAGGACTTCCTGCCGCCGGAGGCGGAGAGTCGCGCGGATCGCTTCGCGCGCGGAGTCCCGCGGAGTCGGAGTTTTAGGGGTTCGACGTGGAGTCGAAATCCTTTTCGCACCACTTGGAAACCGTAGGAAACCGTTGTTCGTTGGTATTTACAGGGGAATCATCAGTCCAGGGTTTCTTAGGTGGTGCGAAATGGATTGCGTCCATCCACACTAGGGAGCTGAATAGCTCCAACATAGCACCTAGGTTCGAACGAACGAACGAATCCGGGCCTTGAGCACTGTGTGCGCGACCTTTAGGGAGTTTGGGGGTGGCCAAGGGGGGTTGAAAAGGGGAAACAGATCCCGCTTTGGTACCCTCCCACAGGTGCTACCGTGGATGGATGAAATCTATTTCAACCATGGTTTCAAAGTGGTGCAGGATTTCGTCCACAGCAGGGAGCGAATACTCTAGACGAAAAGTCCCTGGCTTGATCAGTTTCCAAAGTTGTTCAGTCCGGGGCGTTCATTTCCTATTGACAGTTTGTCGCTGTTGGCCAATCCACCAGGGAGCCCCACCAACAAAGGGGTTGCTTCCGTCTTTGTCCTGAATCCTTGGTTACGACAGGAGTGCTTTTTGCAGTGGTTTTCCAATAGGAATAGGTTGGGATTGGCCAGCACTCCACTTGAAGCTTCCAGCTTGTGTGGGACATCCTCCACTGACGGACCAACAAAAAACCATTTCGCAGGTAGGTGCACCATTTTTCAAGCGCCTAGAGTCGTCGCCGCTCTTCGATGGCGCACTTGAAGCAGCTGCCCGGCTCGGTGGACCTGTGGTCCCCCGACGACGTGGCCAGCTTTCTGCGGCTGCGCCACTGCCCGAAGGCAAGCATCGAGAAGGTGAAGGCCTCGGTGCGTCTGCACAGCTTCGACGAGGTGGACGGCCCGCGGGTGCTGCGTTGCGGCATAGCGGGATTGAGGGACCTGGGCCTCACGGAGCCACAGGCGGAAGCGTTGTGGGCGGAGCTGAAGCTGGAAAAGCCGGTGGTGGCGGAGATGAGATTTGAGCTGGACGGCAGGTGCGAGGCGTTTCTCTGGGGGATTTTCATCGCTGACGCCCTGGCAGCTCCCGCGCACTGGTACTATGACCCTTCAGCGCTGGCAGCGGACTACGGCAGGATCGGCGGATATGTGGCGCCCAAGGCGAGACATTCGGCCAACCGGATCATGAACAATCACTGGAAGGCAAACAAACACGACATTTGCACCCTCGTTGAGGGTGGGCACATGCTGCACGGAAAGGCGGCCATCTGGAAAGAGCCATACAATCACTACCACTCTGGCTTCCAGCCAGGGGAGAACACACTGAATGCGCAAGTGGCCAGGGTTCTAATGCGCTGCGTCTCTGCTGGCGGCTATGATCCTGGGCGCTTCTTGTTGGACTACAAGACTTTCTTGATGACTGAGGGAAGCCACAACGACTCCTACTGCGAGGCGTTTCATCGGCAGTTACTGGCAAACCACCTCCTGCGCGGCTTGCCCTTGGATCAGAGCGCCGGGGCTGAGAACCACGACACGCCCTCCATCGGCGGCTTCGTGGCCTTGCTGCCGCTGCTGCTGGTGGCCTCTGCCCGAGGATGCGAAGCCGCCTTGGCGACGGCGGAGCGGCACCTCGCGCTGACGCACAAGTCGCAGCGCCTCGCCGCCAACCTCGCGGTGTACGCGCGCGCCCTGTGGTCGGTGCTGGCCGGCAGGGACCTCCGCGAGGCCTGCGCTGCCGGCGCCCGAGAACTGGGCTGGGACCTGGCGGCCATGGAGCTGTCGGATCACGAGGCGGTCTACGAGGTCTTCGGCCCCGCGTGTTACATCGGAGACTCCTTGCCGGTGGTCTTCTACCTCGCGCACAAGTACGCCGAAAGCCCCGCGGGCTTTCGAGACGCGCTGCTGGCCAACACCAACGCGGGCGGCGAGAACTGCCACCGCGGCGCCGCTTTGGGGGCGCTCCTCGGGGCGGCCTACGGCATGGCGGGAATTCCACAGGACTTGCTGGATGGGCTCGACGCGCGCGAGGCCATCCGAAAGGAAGTGAAGGAGTTCCTCCAGCGAATCTCCGGCTGAGCGCAAAGCGGAGTCGTGGCTGGTTAGAGGATTTCTGCTGTTTCACCCATACCACGTTTGAAAGAAATGGATTTGCATGTTGCCACAGCCATTTCCTGACAGCACACATTTGCACACAAGGCCCCGAACAATGCCCTTCATCTGAGGACTTCGGGAGACACGTGTTTTCCAGGGGCCTAAATAGAAAAGAGAAGCACAAGAGCCTTGGATGGCGGCTAGCTCCAAAGTCACTTTTGCCGGCTGACTTGGGAGAGTTTGTCCTTTCAATAGAAGGCTGGGTGCTAAGGCTGGCAACTCTCGGTCAAGATTTCCAGATCGACCTACGCCCCCGCGTCGCTTCGGGAGAAACCTTCTGCCAGGCGCTCGCAGCGATCTTCTCTCGCACAGTCCTGCAGCTTGGCGGAAATGGACTGCGGAGTCAGCGTCAGAGTTTCATCTAATCGCTTGGTTAGCGGCAGTAGCGTCAGGAAACTTCCTACGTTTGACTGGCGACTTGAAACGAGGCTAATGACAGCATCCCGTTTTTCCATGACTTCACTCATGGCGAGATCTCCCCTATGCCTCGGGTGCAAAGTGACCCCGGTGCTTGGGGCGTTGATTTTGCCACTGGTTTAAATGCGTTCGGTTGTTGCTCAGTGGAACACAGCAATCACAGACAAGATGTTGTCTTCAAGTTGTTTTGGCTTCTCACTGCTTGAGTCAATAGTCAGGTAATTGTCCCTGCAAGCTCTCGCTCTCTCTCTCTCTCTCTCTCTCTCTCTCTCTCTCTCTCTCTCTCTCTCTCGCTCTTCGCTCTCAAAGCGCGTAGGATCTCAGAGCTTCGCGCCCCTTTTCGAGCATCGCCGCATGAATTCAGTTGAAGGCTGGCTGGTGCCTTCGCCAGCCACTCTTGTTGTTTGTTGACAATCACCGCGGTTTCGTTCTCTTTCTTTGTATAGGTCTTTTCAACACGGCAGATTCCTGCCAGAACCTACCAGAAGGCTTCAAGCTTCTGAGCTGGACCTCCAGGTTTTGAACGCGCTTGAGGCCTTGAGGTTCATGGAACACGGGGTCCCGTCGAGCACAGCTGCGGCCCCATGCTTCCCGTGAAGCCGAGACAAACCGAGGAACTTTCACCCCTGCGCCTATGACGCCTATGGCATGACCGTGGTGGAGGCTGCATTGAGCTTGACTCATTTGGGGGTTGATCAATATTCACCCAAATATCATGTGTTTCGTGGTTTCCTACTGGCCATCAACCCCCATTTGCTGCTAACTGGGCATTGAATTTCTGACCTCCGACAGAAGAGCGCAAAGAAAGCTATGCCGAGCAAATCCAAAACTCCCTGCCCGTTCCAGTGACCAACGTTCCCTTGGTTCCAAAGCCTCCAAATCTTCGGGAAAGCAAAGCGAGTGGGGGTGCTGACAGTCAGCAGTTTCATTCCATTCCATGAGAAGAAGTGTTTCTTTCAAAGATTTGAGCCACTCAAACATGCTGTTTTTGGACATTTGCCATTTCGTCATGGCAGACCCCCAAGCGACACCAGTTTTCGCGTCGGGTTGATCCGAACCTGAGAACCACGGCCAAAGCTCCAGAGGGTAGAACCTTTGTACTGGGTTCTTCTTCCCCTTTTCCAGGGGCCCGAATTGACGCGAGCCTTCACCCGAGTCTTTGAATCTGCCATGGAGGCTGCGGAGCTGCCACAACTTGCTGGTGCTCAGCAGGGAATGCGGGAATGAGCCAAAAAGAAGCAACTTAAAGGAAACCACCAGTTGGATGGTGTTTTTTTGAAAATTCCTTCCATACCTCTCATTCTGTGCATCTCTCGCACCGATCAAATCTCGTTCCATTCCGATGGCCAAATCAGCGGCAGGCTGCGGCCATGGGCGCGCCCAGCTTCCTGAGCCCCGGCTGCGGGGCCTCCGCGCTGCTCGGGGCGGCGGCCGTGGCGCCGCCTTCGGCGCTGCCGGCGGAGGCGGGTGGGGGCGTGAGACCAGCCGAGGATTTTGCAAGGCCCTGAAATGGTTTCCAAGGTTTGATTTCCCTTAAGGAAAGAAGGGGCCCACCAGCTTTTGAGAAGCAAGGAGAGAGCCCTGGCGGTTGGTCTCTTTCTGTAGCAGAAACTTTTAATTGGGCATGTGTTAAGGTAGGGGGGCCCAAAAACCTCTCAAGATTCAACATTCGCCAGACTCCTTCTTTCCAGTATCTTGATTCTTGCATCTCATCCAGTTGCAGAAAGCGAACATATTGAACCTTAAGTCTTTTCCACTCGTAGCAAGCAAAGTGCACTTTGGCAGCTCCAGCTCCAAAAGTGCAACTTTCCAGTGTAAGAGCACGCGCGGTACTTTGGCCGCTTCAATGTGCCTGCAGCAGCTCTGTTATCGTTTTTTGGTTCTTGCCCTTTAGCGGGGAACCGCAGCAAACTTTCAATTTCGAGGCAAGCAAACCTTTGTCTCTAAACTATATATAAATTCAAATTGAGATTCATTTCAATTGCAAAAGTGCTCTGTGACCCTTGCGCAGCTTCGACTCCATTTATGTGTTTCCAATTCCACTATACTTTGGCCCTATTGCAATACCATTTGAGAAGCAGTTCCTATCAAGCTTATGCTTTGCTTATCTAACTCGACTGAAAATTGTTCGGTCCAGTTTAAAGTGCTGCTTCAAGGTTAAATTTCATGTGATTTGAATTAAGTGCCAACTGAGCCAAGTGAATAACAGGAGTTTGTTGCAATCAACATGGAACTCTTCATTGGCAAAACCCCACAGCAACATGCGGTATTTTTCAGGATTTGTCAGATCTTGCTTCCTCCCCTCCAACAAAAGGCAAACACAAGAAGTCTCTGGAACAACCAAAGGTGACTGGGTCCAAGACCCAAGATTGCTCAGAAAAAACAAACATATTGGGAGGCCAGCCCAAAATAGAAAGTTTTTGGAGAACCGCATGTTGCGCAACATTTCCATGTCTCAGCATAGCTCGCAAGTGTTGCGCAACATTTGCCAACAGTTGCGCAACATTTCGCAGGTATAGCAATGACAAATCCAATCCTAACACGACCGCGGCGGGAATGTTTTTTCTAGCTTCTGTTGCTTGTTTTTGGCTCAACATTTGACACATGTTGCGCAACCCTTTGCGCATGATGCCCAGCACAACGACTGGACAAACACCAGCAACAATCCTACCACCAGCATGGCAGGACAGTTTGTTGTGGTTCGTTGGTTTATTCAGACACCTGCCACATGTTGCGCCACATGTGGGGAATGCTGCGCCGCAACATTTCCAGTAGACGAAAAATCAAAAGCCAAAGAACCGAACAACCAATTCTTGCCCCGCCATGGCCGCAATGTGATTGTGTTTTAGTAGTTTTGTTTTGTTTGCCCATGGCTCAAATTTTCTTCCGGACGCATATAAAACTCGAAGTGACTCTTCAAGTCTCAATCCAAGAACTTCATAGGCTCCAAGAGATCCCAGCGATCCAATTCCCCCCCACCATCCCCCCCCCGACTGCTGCAGGAGGAGATGCCCCCCGAGGCCAGCGAGGCGGTGCTGGCGGCGCTCAAGGACGAGGCAGCACTCACAGGGGTACCACCCTCCCCGCTTTTTGGGGCTTCCCTTCGCACCAACACGGGGAAGCCAAAATGGGAAGCCAAAAACGGGAAGCCAAAAAAGGGGAAGCCAAAATGGCCAGAAAGAAACACCAGCCGAGTGGCAGCCTGAAATTCAGGATTGGCGGTTTGACCCCACTGGCAGTTGAAGAAACACTAAAGGGCCACTGTTTGTGAAGGCATCACTTTGTGCCGTCCTTGCTTTGGGGATCTATGTTCACATAGCAGACTATGTGGTTTCCTGAAAATTATGCGAACAGGCGTTTGAAGTCTACAAAGATTTGCACATCCCGCATGTCTTGTCAATTGGTGTAGGGCACCCTGCCTTGAATTTGCTCATTGCATTGTCCGGTACGCGTCCGTCTTGCCAGTTTATGGGGTTCCCTGGCACAATGGAAGGGTTCAACATCCTATATCTCAAGTACGCATGTTAGAATTTTGGTCATTGTTGATTCTGTTTGTGTTTTCATGTTCCTCATTTCACGAAATGACCCGGTGACGGACTCCCTGCCAAAGGGACTTGCCCGGTTTCATTCCAAGCTGCTCCGTGGTGTTTCGTCCTTGCCCAGTTGTGCCACCCAGCGCCCCCACTCAAAACAGATGACAGACCCAAAGGCTAAGCTCCCCATCCCTTCCTTTTGGATTGAGCAACCCGGGCTTTCGGGCTGTGCTTCGAGGCCCTCCTGGCTCGCCTGGGTGAGGAGGCGAAGGACTGACCAGACCCAAATGAGAGACCTGCAATGAAAGCCTCAGATCTTTTCCTTGGAGAGGAGCAGTTTGTTGCACCTTTTTCGGGGTGGCGCCGGCCTAGGAGAGAGCTCTGCACTGGGACGAGATGGCTTATGGCAGGCGTTTGCTGGAGATCCTGGCGAACACCGCGGGCGTGAGCGCAGGAGATGAGGATGTGGCCAAGCGCCGCAGAACAGGAAGCAAATGAAAAATGCGTGCAAGGGATTGCCGCAGAGAAGCGCAGGACTGGAACGAACTGGACCAAAGGGTTCATAGGCTTCTTTTCAGGGTACCAAGGTTCCTTTAAACGGACACGAGAGGGAAGCCACTAGTTTCTTTGTTCTGTTCCGCCATGTTGAGACAACCCCATATGTCCACTTGTTGTGCCAAATAAACGCAATCTGCTCAAGATCCCGCCTCAACCAACGTCAGGGTTGCTCCTTACGTTGATGATACAAACTTCGTTTGGGTAGACAATTGGTGGCATGGACAATTTGGATGGCGACTTCTGCAAATGAGTTTGAGTTGGACCGGAAACTCCGTTCAACTGAGCCAAACCTGTGTACAGCTAAATACTGCAGGGCACACATGTAGCATATCATGTTTTGTTCAGCAACTGGTCTAATATGTCTGCCTCATGCCGCCTGCCAGGCTGATCCCCCCTGGCTGACGTATGGTGAGACTGACCGCTCTGATGCAAATCGCCATAGATTTGTCCAGTGTGGTGCGTGACTGACTTGATGATGTCGGAGCTGATGCTGATTTATGCCTCACGTTCATGTGGTTTCATACTTTTGCGTTTTACCATGGTGTCTACTTGTGCTTCGCATGGCGCACACCTTGTTCTGCCAGCCGAGATGTTAGGGTTTTGGATCACCTAGCCTGTCTCACATCCAAGGACCACTGTGCCTGATTCACAACTTCGAGTGGTGAGAAATTGGATGTGCTTGATCGGCTTGGCCAAGCCACTAAGTAGCTTCCTTCCAAGGAGTGGTGTAGTTTGAGTGTGAACGATTTTACATGGCATATCGTGTGAAGAACTTGGTGGGAGAAGCTGGCACATGGGCCTATCACCTTCTGAGAGCCTGCGATGCCGCTTGAATGCTGCTTGGCACTCGCTTGAAGTTGAAAAGCGGCGGCGCCGGGACTCATTCGCTCCCTTGGTCTGAAAGTTCATACCGCAAATGAAAAGGAGCAACTGCACGTGTTGACAACAGGTGCAACTTATCATTTGTGCTCGTAGGCAGTAGCTCAACAAATTGAGCGCAGGGTGTTTCTGACATTGGGAAAAAGTAGCGGGGTGGTTTCGAAGCAGGAGCTCAACAAGGATCTTTCAGTACAACTTGGCGCTGTCAGGTTGCATGCTAACAATCAAGAGTACAAGAGTCGATTGGTATATCTTTTCTAGAGGCTTTGCTTTGTTGAGTGAACGTAGGGGCATAAGGGTGTTTCTAGCTTCTCGAGCAAGCTTACAAACCTCGGTCAAACACAGAACCAACCAGACCCTGAGCGGGTTCCAAAAAGAACGGGTTCTAGCTTGCACCAACGGAGAATCACTTGTGCATTCTAGAGCCCTTTTGTTTTGGAAATGCTGAGCGCTATCTCCGGCGACTTTGCTACCGCCTATTCTCTGAAGGTGGCGGGTTTAGCCATAGGTCACCCGTTTGGTAAAGCAGCACCAATGCACAATCACGCATTCTAGAGCCCATTTGTTGGAGCCCATCTCGTGTTTCGTCACCGGTCGCCCGTTTGGTAAAGCACAAGATCTCTGGCGGCCGGTTCGTCGCTTCGTGTCGATTCGCGCGGCCAGGGGAAGCGCTCCATCTCCAAGATGTCGGACTTCGACCTTGCGCCGCTGGATGAGTTGCTGCTGCTGTGGTGTTTTGTGTTTGCTGTGGTTTGGTGTTAGCTGTTGCTGTTGCTGATGCTGTGGTTGTTGCTGTTGTTGAATGTTGCTGTTGTTCTTCTTTTTCTTCTTCTTTTGTTCTTCTTCTTCTTGTCCTCCTCCTCCTTCTTCTTCTTCTTCTTCTTGTTCTGTTATTGTTCTTATCTCCTGTCACGTGGCGTCACTTGCATGAAACATCCGAGAATTGGCACAGGCAGCGAGAGGATATAGAACTCACAGTTGTATCCAGAGGGTTGGGTTGGGGTTGGCCAGCCACACTGGATGGGAATCAATGTTTCTCATGTAGGAGTCCATATCTCACGGCTTAAACCTCATCCAGTATTTGTGCGGGTGCCAGAGGCACGCATTCTTTCTTTAATCACTAACTCAAATCCTCAAAGGATGAATGGAGAGTTGGATTCTGAAGGGAAGCCTTCATGCTGAGGCTGGACCCCAGCTGCGAGCGGCAAAATGCGGCCGTGGATTGGCAGGCGCGGCTGTTCGTCATGCGCACGCCTCGCTGAGATGTCCAATTGCCGCCCACAACGAGCAATGCTTGCCTCCAGCGCTGGACCACGCTCTTGTGGTCATAGCATGTGCGCCCTTGTCCCGGCCTTGGCATGCGGATAGGCTCGCGCAGCCAAGTGCTTTCTGCGTATGTCATTTGCCCCAGCGTTCAAGTTCCGTTGGCTGGTGCAAGCTAGAACCGGGCGGCTTGAAAGCTTGATCTCTATTGCTTTGTATCGGCAGATGCTGTTTGTTGAATCGTAGCTGTCTGCTTTGGACCGGAGAACAGTTGCCCCAGGCGGCTTGCATGGCCGCCAAAGTGTCGGCGCTCAGCCGTGCAGTTCGCAGCTTGCCGCCATGCCACTACGATTTACGCTTGTCCCGGGCCGTCCTGCTACCTGCCAAGCGTGGCGGGACGGCTCGCATTTGCTCGCAGCCAAAGCATGCTCCCCAGGTCAACTTCGCATGCTTCCGCCCTTGCATACGCACATCAAAACCTGGATTCACGAACTCTTTGCCTCTACAACCAGTCCAGCGGGAGGGGAAGAGGCTTGCCACTGCCTTTGTTCCCCGCCGCCCAACGGCCTCCATGGCAACGCACAACTTTGCCATGACTTGGCTGACCCGACTGCGCTCTAAAGCTTAGAGACGGCTCGCGAACGGCTGTGTCTAAAGAATGCGGACCTGACACGGTTTCCCTTAATCCCGAAAAGGGAACCCTCAACAAACACACCCGAATCAGTTGGCCTGGGGGCCGGCGGCTGACTCATGAGCAGCGCCCAGGTCTGTCAATGCTCGGGGAGATGCGCCTGTGTTGCCCACAGAAAGATGGGTCTTGTCCCTTCAAGATGTAGCTTCTCATGTGCACCTCGTCAGTTTTGGTACTGCCGACATGTATTTGTCAACGATCCAGTGATCAGGGCACGAGCTTGGGCGCTTGCCAGCGCCACGCTACAAAATTACAGTGTTTAGTTTCCCGTCGGACCATTCTCCTCGAGGCTCTACCCTGGCGGGGATCCGCCTTCATGGCTGTTTGCTAAACAGAAAGAAAAACACCAAGTTGGATCAACCTGATTTGAGACTCACCTTTCTGATGCCAGGCTTTGGCTCGCCGAGCGTGACATGTTTTGCAGAATCCGAGCTGCGGTTGGACACGGGCAGAGCTTCAACTCTCAGGTGACCTCCAAGCCTTAGCAAGGCTCCTTACAAGACACATGTTGCCCATTTGAAACATGGCTTTTTCCACCAAATTACAGGCAATGTTCAGGTGTATACTGTAAGACTGTAAGGATCCCTGCTTAGAGATTTCGTTTGTTCAAAGCAACTTCTGCTCCTGTCGCTTTGCTTTGCCCTGAAATGCTCGCTTGCCCGCCCAAAGGGAAACCTTGCTCACGCTGGAAGAACAGAGTATGGCATTCACATTAGGAGCGCTGGCTTATGGAAAGAGGCAACAATTGCCACCGCGGAGATGTGGCAAATAGTGCAACCTCAGTCTGAAAAGCCTGGCCGAATCGTTCGGACCAGGTTTGCGGAAAGACCGAGCAAAAAAAAACACTGGCTGGACAGCTGTCGATCCACAAATCTCCACCAGCGCCATCTTTTGGCACCTGGATGAACACCGCCAGCCGACTCATTTCGAGTGAGAAGAATCAAAGGCCTATCGCGCAGGCTGGTAGGCTTCTCATTTGACAGATTTGTACATTTGGCCGCCTTGCCCGGCACCAAGGCCGGCCGCCTCTGGTAAACGCAGTGCATCTTGACGGAAGTTCTTCACTGTTGGCCGCCGTCCGTCAGGGATGGGGCCACTGCTCTTGCAAGAGTCTTGCACCCTTGCAACACGTCCTCTCACATCTCCAACACCGATTTGCGACTGCGCGCTTGACACGCGACGCATTTTTGGCGCTCGATGCAACGTCGCCACCGCCCTTGTTGACCTTGATGCAGACCTGGAAGTTCACTGCAGCAACAGCAACACCTACCGAAACAGCACCAGCACCACCAACAACAAGAACAAGAACAAGAGCAAGAACGAGAGCCACAGCAACAGCAACAGGAGCAGGAACAGCAACAGCAACAGCAACCGCAACCGCAACCGCAACATCAAGAGCAAGAGCAAGAGCAAGAACAAGAACAAGAACAAGAGCAAGAACAAGAACAAGAACAATAAAAACACAACAAATAACAAGATCAAGAACCGCCACCACGCAAGCGCAAGCACAAGCACACGCACAACCACAACCACGACGACAAGTCAACACCAGACGAGTAAAACGGTAATCAAAGACTGGACCCTGCAATCAGCTATTGGAGGCTGCGCCGCAATCACGTACAGTCAAACCCGGCAATCACGTACAGGTGAGCCCGGCAATCAGAAACGGGCTGCGGTGAGTTTAGGATTGGTTTGCGGTTAGTTCAGGGCTGGGTTGGGGTCGGTGTAGGGTTGGTTCAGGGTTGGTTTAGGGTTGGCTTAGGGTTGGTTTAGGGTGGGTTTAGGGTTGGTTTAGGGTGGGTTTAGGGCTGGTTTAGGGTTGGTTTAGGATTGGTTTAGGGCTGGTTCAGGGTTGCTTTGGGGTTGGTTTAGGGTTGGTTGGGTTTGGGGCTGGTTTAGGGACGGTTTGTGCGTGGTTCAGGTTTGGTTTAGGGTTGGTTTAGGTTCAGAGTTGGTTTAGGTTTGGTTTAGGGTTGGTTTAGGATTGGTTTAGGGTGGGTTTAGGGCTGGTTTAGGGTTGGTTCAGGGTTGGTTTAGGGTTGGTTTAGGGTTGGTTTAGGATTGGGTTTAGGGCTGGTTTAGGGCTGGTTTAGGGCTGGTTTAGGGTTGATACAGGGTTGGTTTAGGGTTGGTTTAGGGTTGGTTTGGGGTTGGTTTAGGATTGGTTGGTTTAGGGTGGGTTTAGGGCTGGTTTAGGGTCGGTTGGTTTAGGGCTGGTTTAGGGTTGGTTTAGGGTTGGTTTAGGATTGGTTTAGGGTGGGTTTAGGGCTGGTTTAGGGTTGAGTTGGTTGGTTTAGGGCTGGTTTAGGGTCGGTTTAGGATTGGTTTAGGGTTGGTTCAGGTTTGGTTTAGGGTTGGTTTAGGATTGGTTTAGGGTGGGTTTAGGGCTGGTTTAGGGTCGGTTTAGGATTGGTTTGGGGTTGGTTCAGGGTTGGTTTGGGGTTGGTTTGTGCGTGGTTTAGGATTGGTTTAGGGTGGGTTTAGGGTTGCTTCAGGGTCGGTATAGGGTTGGGTTTAGGGCTGGTTTAGGCTTGGTTCAGGGTTGGTTTAGGGTTGGTTTAGGATTGGTTTAGGGTGGGTTTCGGGCTGGTTTAGGGTTGGTTCAGGGTTGGCTTAGGGTTGGTTTAGGGTTGGTTTAGGATTGGTTTAGGGTTGGTTTAGGGCTGGTTCAGGGTTGGTTTAGGGCTGGTTTGGGGTTGGTTTAGGTTTGGTTTAGGGTTGGTTTAGGGCTGGTTTAGGTTTGGTTGAGGGTTAGGTTGGGGTCGGTGTAGGATTTGTGTAGGGTTGGTTTAGGGCTGGTTTAGGGTTGGTTTAGGGCTGGTTCAGGGTTGGTCTAGGGTTGGGTTTCGGATTGGTTTCGGCTTTGGTTCAGGGTTGGTCTAGGCTGTGTTTGGGGTCGGTTTGGGCTTGGTTTAGGCTTGGTGTAGGGCTGGTTTGGGGTTGGTTTAGGTGTTGGTTGAGGGTTGGGTTGGGGTCGGTGTAGGGCTGGTTTGGGGTCGGTTTAGGTTTGGTTTAGGGTTGGTTCAGGGCTGGTTTGGGGTCGGTTTGGGCTTGGTTTGGGCTTGGTGTAGGGCTGGTTTGGGGTTGGTTTAGGTTTGGTTTAGGGTTGGTTCAGGGCTGGTTTAGGGTTGGTCTAGGGTTGGGTTTTGGATTGGTTTCGGCGTGGTTTAGGGTTGGTTTAGGGTAGGTTTAGGGTAGGTTTAGGATTGGTTTAGGGTGGGTTCAGGGCTGGTTTAGGGTTGGTTCAGGGTTGGTTTAGGCTGTGTTTGGGGTTGGCTTGGGCTTGGTTTAGGCTTGGTGTAGGGTTGGTTTAGGGCTGGTTTAGGTTTGGTTGAGGGTTGGGTTGGGGTCGGTGGAGGATTGGTGCAGGGTTGGTTTAGGGCTGGTTTAGGGTTGGTTTAGGGCTGGTTCAGGGTTGGTCTAGGGTTGGGTTTAGGATTGGTTTCGGCTTTGGTTCAGGGTTGGTTTAGGCTGTGTTTGGGGTCGGTTTGGGCTTGGTTTAGGCTTGGTGGAGGGCTGGTTTGGGGTTGGTTTAGGTTTGGTTTAGGCTGTCTTTGGGGTTGGTTTGGGCTTGGTTTAGGCTTGGTGTAGGGTTGGTTTGGGGTTGGTTTAGGTTTGGTTTAGGGTTGGTTTAGGACTGGCTTAGGGTTGGTCGAGGGTTGGGTTGGGGTCGGTGTAGGGTTGATCTAGGGTTGGTTTAGGGCTGGTTTAGGGTCGGTTTAGGGCTGGTTCAGGGTTGGTCTAGGGTTGGGTTTCGGATTGGTTTGTGCGTGGTCCAATCATATTGGCCGGTTTGGTCAAGTTTGGTCGGGTTTTGTCGATTTTGGTTGATTTTGGTCGAATTTGGTCGCACGGGGTCGAGCGCTGTCAATTTTAACTGACTTCGAGTTGAGTTTGGTCGACTTTGGTCGAGCGCAGTGGTCCAATTTGGTCGGATTGGGCAGTTCATCGCCAGACTGAATTCGATCGGAAAATTCTTGAAATTTTCCGGTTGAATTCTCTAGGCTGAATTTGGTCAGATTTGGTCGGGTTTGGTCCAGTTTGGTCGAATTTGGTCGAGTTTGGTCCAGTTTGGTTTGGTCGAGTTTAGTTGGATTTTGCTCGATTTTGGTCGAATTTGTTCGAGTTTGGTCGGGTTTTGTCGATTTTGGTTGATTTTGGTCGAATTCAACCGGAAAATTCTTGAAATTTCCCAGTGCTATTCTCTAGGCTGAATTTGGTCAAATTTGGCCGGGTTTGGTCAAGTTTGGTCGGGTGTGGTCGAGTTTGGTTGAATTTGGTCGATTTTGGTAGAGTTGGGTCGAGTTTGGTCGGATTTTGCTCGGTTTTGGTCGAATGTGTTCAAGTTTGGTCGAATTTGGTCGAAAACCCTAAACCCAACCCTAAACCAACCCTAAACCAACCCTAAGCCAGCCCTGAACCCATGTCGTAAACCAACCCTAAACCAACCCTAACCCACGCACAAACCAAGCCCAAACCAACCCTAGACCAACCCTGAACCAGCCCTAAACCAACCCTACACCAACCCTCCAGTGGTGCCCTTGGCCATTTGTTTTTTTTTCCTTTGTGTTGGAGGGATCTCCCTTTGAACTTAGCTACCAAGAACAAGAGTGCCCTTGGCCACTGGAGGTCTGGGACTTGGACTTGGATGGCAGGCTAGGATCAGTCTAGATCCCTTTTCAGGGCCCCAAGGACACATTTGGGCCATCGCCTTACCTGCAGGTCCCCTTTACTTGTAAGGCTACAGTACATGTCAGGAGTGACGTGATGTCCCTTTTCAAGCAATGTGGAATCCAGAAAGAGGGCTCCTCTTAAGGCAAACATAATTTTGAGAACCCCGGAAGTTGTTTGTTTGTTTTTCTCCCCGGGGCGGGGGGAGGCTTGGCGATTTTGAGTGGGTGCCGGACCAATGAAAACAAACAAATGCAAGATTTAGAGGGTGGACTCAGAAGGCCCTGGATTTTCAAACCAAGATCCTCAGATCAGAACATTACAGGCATGTCTCCCTTTGTCTGCGCTCACTGTCTACCTGGTTCATGACGGAAGTAGCAGGGGAGTAGTTCAAACGTACTCCAGTGGCTCGGCGAGCACACGCTACCAGCAAGCACGGGCAGCTGCAGACTACAGGGTGCATCTGGACCGCCCGGATGCGAGCAAAATCCAACCGAACTCGACCAAACTCGACCAAACTCGACCAAACTGGACCGAACTCGACCAAATTCGACCAAACTCGACCAAGCCCGACCAAACTCGAGCAAACCCACTGCGGTGATTCGAGATATTCGAAGGGAGATGATTTGTGCCACAGGGCAAAGCACACTCATGCACATATAGCTAGATTTCAAGCGCACTGCGGGCCCGTGGTGCAATGGCCGCCTTGGATGCGTCTTCGTTCTTGGCGCGGGGCTTCAGGACGTTGCTCGACGAGGCTTTGATAAGAACCTACGACCGCCTACCCCTCTCTGAAGTTTCTAAGAACATGTGGGGGCTGGGCGTTGGTTTCCTTCCAAGGACTCCTATGGATCATCTCATCCAGATTCATCAATTCTTGCGGATTCATAAACGGTGGTTCCTCCAAGACTGAAGGGTTGACTCATCCTGGGTCAGCATTTGCAGCAGATGTACCTGCCTGGCGCGCATGACTGCTCTTTCGACAATGGATGTGCACCCCCTCGCTAAATAGGTTTGCCTCCAGTGGAGGCACCAATCCCTTGATGCTTAGTAGGGATGGCCAAAAGCAAGGGTTGATGAATTCCACCGAAAGGGGTTCCACTAAGAATCACGGTTTGTTATCGGTTCCACTGACCAAAGCGACCAATTCAATAGCCTGTGTGACTTTCCTCTGTCGGCTTACCCGCCCACCCCCCCCAGGCTCATTATCTCTTGTGGTGAGGTGTCCTCCTGCAAGAGATAATGCCTCCCTCCACGTGTAGGAACCCCACCCTCAGAGCCGCTGTAGGCTGCATGTGTCTTATGCCCCGCACTCCTGTGAGACGTTGCTGTTGCGTTTTTTTTTCTGGGTCTTGTACCGCCTGAACGACTGCAGTTACATATGTTTCGTGTGTTTTCGGTCTCAACAGAGAGGGCAGCTGACACCCGGAACCCTTATCCCTAAACCAGACTTCCAGAGCCCTCGATCCTAAACCCTAGGAAACCCTTACCAAGTTGAGGTTGTAGTACCCGTGGCAGACCAGCTTGCTGTTTACCTGTGCCTTGCATGTGAGCTGAGCATGTGACGTTTCTTTTTCTTGTTATACGCAGCCATGTCTTCTTGTGTGTGTACGTGTGCCACAGGGCAGGCTATGGCTCGGCCGGAGCCATGGAAAGAGCTGGCCCGCGACACACTGCCGCCTGAGAAAGGCAGTGAGTGCCGCAGGCACCTCCACCTGTGGAGAGACTTCGTGCGGCATTTGCTGAGCAGCAGAGGCATCATCGGAGCCGTGGATAGGGCCGTGGTCGGCGACACCTGCAAGGCATGGGCCACATGCACAGAGCACGCTGACTTGCAGGGGGCCAAAGATGCAAGAGGGAGGCAGGCTCGGCACCATACCTTTTACATCACTTTGACACAGAAGATCAGCTTGGCAGATGACCCAGAGTGGGAAGCTTCCGTCTATGAGCGGGGCACATGTGCTGGAGCTACTGCTCGTGTTGTGCGCGGGCAGACCGTGCGTCAGAGGCTGACTGCGCAGCGCATCGCCCATCTGACGCCTTCGCAAGGCTTGGCAGCCCTGCTCGCAGATGGCACGGATCGCAGAGATTTGCCTGGATTGCGGACGGTAGAAGCCGCCAGGCGGCGTCTCAAAGCCGTCCGCGCCAAAAGACGAGGGGATGCCAAAGCGCATTGTTCGCCCACCGTGCTTGGGCTGGTTGTGGAGGCTCGGAACTCCTCCAATTCTGGGGTGCATTTTCAAGCTCTGCAGACCGAGGGCGTTGCCGCGACCGTGTGCATTTTGGAGGAAGAGGTCAGGGCAATCAGAAAGTGGGTTGATGAGGGGGGCAGCCTGATCTGGTCTGAGGACGCAACCTACAAGATGAACTGCTCCGGTTGGTGCCTGAGCACTATAGCCTGCCCCGTGCTCCATCTCACCGGTGGGCTTTGGAGGACGTCGGAGCTTTCATTGGGCCATGCCTGGACCCCGAAGGAGAGCACAGCTGGACATCCAGGAAGCGATCCTGGGCATCTACGAGGAGCGCGGGCTGGACCTCCGAAGGCACGTGCAGGCTGCCTTCTACGACAACTCGCCCGCACAAAGAGCCGCCCATCGCGCGCAGCTCCAGGGTGTCCCCTACCGCAGGGATCTTCGGCATCAGGTTGCAGCTTGCCGGCGCAGGAAAGGGCCTTTGTCGCGAGGATTGAGTGCTTGGGCGCAGAAGTCGGCCTTCTACCCGCCGTTGGTTTTCGACCTTGCCGCGCAGGCCCTCCTGGACCGCCTGCGGGTGAAGGAAGAGTATGACTGGATGTCTTACTTGACTGACGTGGCCTTTTCCAAGCAGGGCCAGCTGTGGTCTGCTGAGTGGCAGTGCTGCATAGCTGTCGCCCGGCCAGGGTTTACGCCTGCAAGCGTGGGCCAATCCAAGGAGTCGCAGTGGGCCGCTTTGAAGCGGTGCACTGGCAACCTAGCCAACACGGATCTGGCAACGGCTGCGCCGGAGGTGGAACTGGCTCTGTGCGCGCTGATGCACGAGCGGAACACCCAGGCTGGCGGGGACTTGGTGGCCACTTTGCGCTCTGCTCCAGATCGGCCTGCGCATCAACGGCTTTCGGGGAGCTCTCGGCCAGCATCCCGCGCGGAGGACCCTTTTCTGAGCTCTATTTTGCTTGTGTGTTGGTGACTGGCGGTAGCGGGGCCGCAAGTTGGGGCCACAGGGGTCGCTGCCGAAACCAACGAGGAGAAACGGAGAAACCAAGCAGTTTCAGGGTTCCGTTTGGAGAGAGAGTTGGACCAACTGCTGAGGGATAGGTTCATTCCCCAATCCCTTCTTGATTTACTGAGAACCAGACTGTACTCGTATGTGAGATGGTGGTTTCCCTTGTGTCCCACTATGTCTACCAAGGATTGGGATCCTTCCATAGACAACCTAGGAGAGGTCCCAGTGGCCCAGAGACGTGGTCATGTCGGGTCGACCATGTTGTGGTTTGGCGGAGCCCCTGCCGGCCATCCCTGGCTTCGTTTCTTGTTGTTTTCTGTCTTTTGTGTGTGTTTGTGTGTGTGTGTGTGTTTGTGTTTTGTTGGGGGGGGGCAGAGGTTAGGTCACATCATGAGCACCTTTGGGGGCCGGTTTCTGCTTCATATTGGCCGCTTGTCATTTGTTTAACTGACTTGTTCAAGACAACATGTTGAAATATTCAAACTGCCATTGTGTTGTTGGTGGCTGGAACCAAAATACAGGTTCACACTTCAAAAACCTGGGGTTCAAGGGGGCCAACATTTGACTCCGGATTCTCGCAGACAGTGGATATCCTCCTGGAGAAGGAAGACTGTTCTGAGCTGTCGCTCAGCCCGGGCCGCAGAATTCTCGGTTTGTCCCAATGGCTTGCCTCCGGCAAATGGGTTCGTTGGCTTAAAGGCACCCAGCAAAACTTACCGTACGCGTTGGTTATTTGTTTACCCGGTTTACCCTCTTATCACGTGGGAAAACGGCTTCAAGAGGAAGTAGTCTTCCAAACCCGACTGTCGGCTTCTATGATTGTTGGAGGGTGGTATTTGAAGGCTTAAAGGAACCAACCGTATCTGGGATTTCTGAAATGGCTTCGGCGCGGCCACTTTTGCCCATGAAGTGTCCGCGTTTTGTATTCACGGGTCGTAAAGGTTCTGCGTGCAGTGAACAGGTTACTCTCTTGGAAGGTGTTCTCCAGCAGGTGTGCATGTGTCAGGTTGTGTTTGTGCCTCTTGCGTTTGTTTGTGTGTATATTTGTGTCTCTGTGCTTTTCCCAGCTGCTGCTTTTAGACGTTCTGGGTCAGCTGGACAGGGACAGGGAATGTATAGACGCAGAAACATGCACACACACACCCAGGCACACACCCAGTCACAGAGACATAGGCCCACGTACGCACGCAGGCAGCAGCATGTTGTTTCCGGAAACGTGGTGCCATGGCAGGGCGTCAGGGCTGCCTCAAGCGTGGCCACGAGCAAGGCGCAAAATTCAAGACTCCTTTCCAGCAGTTCTTGGCAGCTAAGACTGTCCTGCAGATGCAGCGCCTACATGCATTTCTGGAGTTCCAAGATGCGCTTTTGCAGCGAGTGCGCCAGGGGTGCATCCCGGCTCGGAAATGTTTTTTCGTCTCCTCGCAGGCAGATGTGGCTGGACTCATGTGGCAGATGTTCTTTGTCAGAGGGGTTTTTAGACAAGAAGGGCGGGTCCTGGTGTGTGTGTGTGTGGTGCGGCAGCTTGCTGGGCGTTGTTGGGTAGACACGCACGGCGCTGGGTGCATCTGAGGTGGAAGACATGCATCGCATGCTTGCAGACTACGTGGTGCTTCGGGAAATCGTGAGGACAGCTGAGCAGCCCGAGCAGGCGGTCCGTGACTTTGCCGGACACCTGGCCCAATGACACCGCTCCTACTGATTCCCGAATATAGCGTTGGGGCTCCCGTTTATAGTGTTGGGGTCTGGGGGTAGGACCCTTGTTCGTGTCGTGTTGGTCGGCTCCTCGCGGGCTCGTCGCGGTCCGCTCGCGGTCGGGTCGCGGTCTGGTCACGGGCAGGTCGCGGTCGGGTCGCGGTGGGGTCGCGGTCCGTTCGATAGTTCCGCGCCGTTGGGGGAAGGCTTGAGCGCGTCATTTGGGTGCCTTGCGATGTGTCGTTTTCGTTGGCCCTGTGCGGGAATCGTACAAATTGGCATGTTCGCTCTCTTTTCCTTGCGCATGCGCGGTGCTTCGTGGGGCTTCACGTGAAAGGTGGCTTCTGACACGGCTTCACTTTCATGCCACTGGGGAAAGGCTGCACGATGATGTTGCGCGGTGAACACTCTGAGCTCGCCGTGTGAGCCCTCTGCGCACTTTGGGTGGGTCGAATCGCTCTCGCTGCGGCGCGGTGCGCATTCTCAGAGCGCATAGTGAGCCCTTTCACTTTCAGCGGGTCGAATCGCTGACGCTGTAGCACGGCGCACGTTCTAAGATCGCACAGTCAACTCCCAGCGCACTCTGGGTGGGTCGAACTGCTCTCGCCGTGGCGCGGCGCGCGTTCTGGGATCGCAAGGTGAAGTCTCTGCGCACTTGGTGCGGGTTGACACGCTCTGGCTGTGGCGCGGTACACGTTCTAAGATCACAAAGTGAGCCCTCTGCGCACTTTGGGCGGGTCAAATTGCTATCGCTGTGGCGCGGTGCACATTGTCGAATCAGAAAGCGAACCTTCGGCACACTTTCGGTCGGTCGAGCCGCTCTCGATGTGGCGCGGCGCACATTCCAAGAGCGCAGAGTGAACCCTCTGCGCACTTTCGGCGGGTCGAACCGCTCCCGCTGTGGCGCGGTGCATTATCTCAGATCGCAAAGTGAGCCCTCACCGCACTGTGGATGGATCCGATCGCTCTCGCTGTGGCGCGGTGCGTATTTTGATATCGCAAAGTGAACCCTCCGCGTTCGGGTTCGCGGCTTCTATCTTGATTTAAGACAGGGCTTAGTCGTGAAAGGCTGCTTTTTCGACTCTAGTCCAGGCCTCAAAATCGAAGTAGTACGAGGCGCCGAAAAGCTTCGGCGACAGAGCAAGAGAAGTCTTTCCAGAAATCCGAGGCCACGGGAGTTCTCAAGTGTGATTTCAAATGCCTCAGTTGGAGAGGTTTTGGAGTCTCTCTCTCTCTCTCTCTCTCTCTCTCTGATATCTTTCTTTCTCTCTCTTTCTCTCTCTTATCTCTTCCTCGTCCCTATTAATGTATATTGGTTTTGAAGCCAACATATTCAATGCCCGCGGTCGGACGCTTCATGTGTTTTGCTTTTCTGCAGAAACAAACACAGGTGAGCAGAAGCTTGCATGTCTTCGCTGTGTCACAGGAAGAGTCAACATGGTGTACGCGCGCACCTTCTCGACGCTGCGCATGGCAGAAGCGGTGCTGTCCGTGCGCACTTGCTGCGTGGATCCTCGTCATGACCGGGGCTCTTATAGAATGCGTTTCGTCGCGTCTGCGACCCTGGGCCTTCTGCGGCAGAGGGCAGGCCAATTCCCCGTCTCGGCTGTTTTGCTGGTTCGTGCCGCTGCTTTCAGCATCATCACTGGCGGGTTGGGAATGTGCGACTCGGCATCGTTGTTTACGTAATGGTTCGGCATAACAGGAAAACGTCGGGAAGTTAGAGATAAGTAGGGCTGCTTTCCATCTGTTTCCCTAGCGGCCAAACCGCCATCTCCCCAGTCCCTTCTGTGGCTTGGCAGATACCACTTGCGCACGTATCGGTTGTCGTTATATGTGTCATATGTTGTTTTCCCTTGAGGGTTCCCAGGCCTGATCCTGTTTCGTGGGTGCTCGGACGGGTGTAGGCGATCTGCTGCGGGCTCGGCTTCATGCGGGAAATCATGATCACTGGACAGACCGCCTGATTTGGCAACACGACTGTGCCATGGTATGGGGTCGCACGCACGGCAAGCCACGTCTCCTCTCTGGGTGTGAGGAAGAGGGTGAGGAAGCAGCAGGGGATGATATCCAGGCTGTGCAGCCGCAGTGTGAGGATGACGAAGTGGCTGAAGGCATGGGTTGCTCGGCAGATCCTGTGGTGTTGGCGGCCCTGACTTCGCTGGGCGAAGAGCTGCTTGAGGATGCAGCACGAAGTCTGCCTTGGAGTGCCGCGACGCACTTTGGCTTTCGCCCATTTAAGCTCATGGGATATGCTCGGGCGATCGCGACGTGGCAAAACTTTTGTTCTCGTAGCCAAGTTACCTATACGAGGATTCACCCTGGCTCGCTTGCTTTTCCAGACGGAGGCCTCTCGATGAAAGTGCTGGCGGATCGATTCTGCTACTCGGCTCAGCGCGTGCTATTGTTCGGGCTGCGCCTTGCGATGGGGGGCGGTTGCTAATCTTGGGAGCGCTGGTGCTTGCATTTCTGGGGCTGGGAGAGCGTAACATCTGCGGCTTGAGAGTTTGCAGAAGGTCCGGTGTCCCAATTTTTGTTCCACTCCTACGCCTTTCCAATCTTGGCACAGCGCGGGGTCAACGCCGCATGTTCCCTTTCTGCCGAGGTGAGCTATCTGAGCCATACACTACGGCAGCGGCCTTGCGACGCTGGTGTCGTGTGCCCTGTATGCCTCGGAGCGGCGGGGCCACCAGGCGACATGCGTTTTTGATGGTAGGAAGGCAGTGGTTGTAACTTTCGCTGCTCTGCGCGGGTAGCTCTTCACGGGTTCTCAATAGCTTGTTTCGTGATGTTTGCCTACTAGTTGTCATTTCCGCATGTTGGGGGGGGGGGGGGGCTTTTGTCGGATCTCATTTGCTTTTGTTGCTCTGATGCTGGTGCATTTTTTTCATGGCGGCAGGTGCGCCGCGCTGCTCACTCGACGCAGCATGCTAGCTGGCACGGATCCCTGTCCTACCAAGCTTCCACCTCAGCTGTGGCTGGACGTTCTTCAGCGCATTCGCCCTCGGGTGACGAAGCACTCCCGAGTCGCCGGCGTGGAGTGCCCGGATTTGGACCATAGAATAGTTGAGAACTGCGCCTGCTGCTTTTCCAAAGTGGTAGATCACCTATTGGGGTGCTGCAGCCACGCATTGTACAGGTAGGTGGGCCTGTGTCGCATGCGACGGGGCCGTCCGAGATGCTTGCTTTGTAACGGGACTAGTTCAGGGCTTTAATTTCTGAGCAGTCATTTGAAGCAGCTGAAATCAATCGCACATGTCTTGGAAGTGTATTGGTCTCGAATAGGTGTTTTAGAATTGGCTAAGCGTATTGGCTTGGTTAGTCCCAGTCGAGCCGGATTTTGCATCTTACCGAAAGTCTGCAGGTCGGTTTCAGAATTTCGAGCACAACTGTGGAGGTCGGCGAGTAAGCGGTCACTCATTTGTAGGGGGCCTTTCTTGAGAAGATGCGGGGTACCCCCCTCGAAGCCGTCTGCCTGGAGCCTCCCCGAGATGGCGGGATGCCCGCTGGTTGTTGGGGTAGAGGCAGGAGCACCGGGTTTTTGCTGTTATAAGTGCAACTTTTATGCCCCTTTAAGGCGAGGTGGTGCAATGTTGAAGGGAAATGTAGGTGCATTCTGCTTCCACAAGTACCACCCCAGTTTGGACCCCCCCTGTCCATCCAAAAGGCCCGATGTGTGGGGGTGCCTAACCTGCAGGGACACACTGTCATTTAATGTGGTGCTTTGGTTTGGCGGCTATTTCGTCCATCAAACATGCCATCAGCTACCTGTGAACTGCTGTGCTTCTGCGCTGCACACTTCGGAGCTCAGGTCTCGCACGTGCATAGCGCAGCCCAACGGTGTGACTTAGGACTGAGGGCAGGGAGTACACTGTTCGTCTGGTTTTAGTTTTTTTTTATGTATCGGCCCGGCCGAAAAAATAACGATGAGCTGCTTGTCAAGATAAGTCTCCTGTCGGGCTGTTTGCTCTTATTGTTTCTGACCCTCAAGTTGCGATTTTCGAGCTGGAGCTGTGGATGTGTACATTGCGTACTGGACTTGTGCTACGAAGATGCGCTTTTCGAGCTGGAGCTGCGGAAGTGTACTTCCCACGCTAGACTTGTACTACAAAGTTGCGATTTCCAGCTGGGGACGCGGAAGTGTATTTCGCGTACGACACTGGCACTATAAAGTTGCTATTTTCGAGCTGGAGCTGCGGAAGTGTAGCTCGCGTACCAGACTTGCACTACAAAGATGCGATTTCCGAGCTGGAGCTGCGGAAGTGTGCTTCGCGTACTGGTCTTGTGCTACAAAGTTGCGATTTTCGACCTGGAGCTGCGGAAGTATACTTTGCGTACTAGACTATAAAGTTGCGATTTTCGAGCTGGAGCTGCAAAAGTGTGCTTCGCGTGCTAGACTTGCACTACAAAGACCAAACTCGACCGAAATCGTCCAAAATCCAGAAAATCGTCCAAAATCGACCGGCTGAATTCGACCAAACTCGACCAAAATCGACAGAACTCGACCAAACTCTGGCCACACTCGAGCAAAATCTAATGAAACTCGACCAAACCAAACCGGACCACACTCGACCAAATTCGACCAAATTCGACCCAACTGGACCAAACCCGACCAAATTTTACCAAATTCAGCCTGGATAATTCTACCGCAAGAGGGAGGGCCGATAGCCTTCACCGGGAAGACGCAGGAGGGAGGACCGACAAGGCGCGAGAGCAAGGATCGGGAAGGCGCGAGCGGAAGGAAAGAGGGGGCTGGGAAGGCAAGAGTAGGGCCGGGAAGGCGCGACAGGGAGGACCGGCGTGAGAGGGGACCGGGAAGCCGCAAGGGGGTACCGGGAAGGCGCAAGGAAGGACCGGGAAGGCGCGAGAGCAATGATCGGGAAGGCGCAAGAGGGAGGCCCGAGAGCCAAGAGCGGGAAGGCGCAAGAGGGAGGACCGGGAAGTCGCGAGAGCAAGGACCGGGAAGGTGCGAGCGGAAGGACCGGGAAGGCACAAGAGGGGATCGGGAAGGTGCAAGAGTGGGGCCGGGAAGGCGCGGACCGGAAAGGCGCGAGAGGGAGGACCGGGAAGGCGCGACAGCAACGACCGGGAAGGCGCGAGCAGAAGGACCGGGAAGGCGCAAGAGGGGACCGGGAAGGCGCAAGAACAGGGAGGACCGAGAGCCACGACCGGGAAGGCGCAAGAGTAATAAATTTGGACTTTTTCCTTCGAGCAGTTGCGGAGCACTAGAGGAGCACTGGAGCAGCATCGGCGACCCCAAAAACCCGTGCTTGCGGACGGGCAGGTTTTTGGAAGGGGGGCATTTGAGGAGCACCAGGGGAGCACTCGATGAAGCGTTCTTTGATGAGGCACTAAAGTGATGCGCGCCGGCAGGAGGAAGTGACAGGCGTGATGTGCGCTGGCAGGAAGAAGTGACAGGCCAGCAGAATCCAACCCTAAACCAACCCTAAACCAACCCTAAACCGACCCTAAACCGACCCTAAACCAGCCCTAAACCAACCCTTCTTTGAAGTTGTTGGGCTTTTACTTGCTAATGCTCAGTAGGGAATGTCAACCACGGTTTGGGAATGAACCTGGGGTTCCCTTACAGGAAGCCATAGGGGATGGTGTAAATCGGGTTCATTCCAACTCATTCCCTGCCTACCGCACCAGCAAGCTTCAAGGTTTGGGTGTGCAACACCGTCTCTATGTGTCCATTCCTCTGATTCAGAGCCACATGGCGCAAGGGGAGCCATAGGATTGGACCGAGCAGTGGCCCCTAATCTTCACTACGCTATGCTAGTGCTGCAATGGCTCTGCATCATGGGGTTCCCCTCGGCTCCCTTTAAACGGAGCCCCACAAGGGTTCCCTAAAGGAAGACTAAAACCCATACATACATACATACATACATACATATATACATTCATACATATGTACACCTTAATTGACACTTATAGGATGTCTCAATTTCTCTTTTTCTTGCTGTGGCTTTTTTTTGGGGAATTGGGTTTGGTTATTGAGAAATCCCGCGGGCTCTCGTCGCACGTGAGATGATATCCAGCACATGTTCACGCAGCCTGCCTGGGCTCAGGAAAGGGCGTGTGGCACAGAAACACAGGCCCGTCTGTTTCACAGAACACACAGAAACGCAGAATCTTTGCACGGGCTGTGTCCGGCATGGCCAGCTATGAAAACCAGTGGAAGACTGCCGAGGCAGGTTGCTTGCGGTGTAGATGGTCGTGCGAGACGGTTCACTTAGAGATCCGCTGGCAGAGCCCCAGGTCAAATGCAGGCTGTTTGAAGACAGACTGAGCCGGCCGCTCTCAAGTGGTCTTCATTTCAACTCATGTTCATCGGCCCACAACAGGTACAAACGCAATGGTACGGCCTGTAGTGGGACAACAGCTGGAAAACATGTTAGCACGTTGTGCTGCGTCGGTGTTTCTTCATGTGAACCTGCGGCTGTCACCCTGCTCCGTCTTCCCTCCTGATGAGATGTGAACCTAAGATGAGTTGTCTTCCGCTCCTCTGTGTCCTCTGCCTCGTCTTCCCTTCTGTCGGCGAGGCGGCCGGCACGGGGGCCCGTTGTTTGTTTTTGCCCTCTGTTTGCCTTGGACAGGAACGAGTGGCCAGAAGACTTGGGGCGTGTAGGCGGACTAGTATGTCGAGTCACCAAGCTCACACGTAGCCAATGTTGCTGTTCTGGGTTGCCACTTGGCTGAGAACATGGACGTGTGCGGCCAGCGGAAACCCTAAGCCCTAAAGCGATGTGTGGGCCAGCGTGTGTGGGCCACCAGAAGCCTTAAACCCTAAAGTGATATGAGCCACGGACAAAACCTACGTCGACCACTTTATCAAGAGGGGTTGAATTATATGTCCAAACTGCACGATACCCTGTAGAACGATAGGGACCCCCCCCAAAACCGATACCCCTCAAGTTGCGATTTTCGAGCTGGAGCTGTGGACGTGCACGTTGCGTACTAGACTTGTGCTGCGTAGTTGCGATTTTCGAGCTGGAGCTGCGGAAGTGTACTTCGCGTACTAGACTTGCACTACAAAGTTGCGATTTTTCGAGCTGGAGCTGCGGAAGTGCACGTTGCGTACTATACTTGTGCTACATGGTTGCGATTTTCGAGCTGGAGCTGCGGAAGTGTACTTCGCGTACTAGACTTGTACTACAAAGACCAGACTCGACCGAAATCGTCCAAAATCCTCAAAATCGTCCAA